CATCCCTGCTTGAAGGATGAAAGACATCTCTGTTTGAAAGAAGAGACACATCCCTGCTTGGAATATCCTTGCGTGAGAGAAGAGATATCCCTGCTTGAGAGAAGAGAGATATCCCTGCTTGAGAGAAGAGAGATATCCCTGCTTGAGAGAAGAGAGATATCCCTGCTTGAGAGAAGAGAGACATCCCTGCTTGAGAGAAGAGATATATCCCTGTATGATGAGAAGAGCGATATCCTGCTTGAGAAGAGAGACATCCCTGCGTGAAGAAGAGATATCCCTGCTTGAGAGAAGAGAGAAGATATCCCTTGAGAAGAGATATCCCTTGAGAGAAGAGATATATCCCTGTATTGAGAGAAGAGATATCCCTGCTTGAGAGAAGAGAGACATCCTTGCGTGAGAGAAGAGATATATCCCTGTATGATAGAAGAGAGATATCCTGCTTGAAAGAGAGAAGAGATATATCCCTGTATGAGAGAAGAGAGAGCCCTATCCCTGCTTGAGAGAAGAGAGACATCCCTGCGTGAGAGAAGAGATATATCCCTGTATGAGAGAAGAGAGATATCCCTGCTTGAGAGAGAGAGACATCCCTGCTTGAGAGAAGAGAGCGATATGAGAAGAGACATCCTGACAGATATATCCCTGATTGAGAAGAGAGATATCCCTGCTTGAGAGAGAGAGATGTCCCTGCTTGAGAGAAGAGAGATATCCCTGCTTGAGAGAAGAGAGACATCCCTGCGTGAGAGAAGAGATCCCTGCATGAGAGAGTCCCTGATATCCCTGCTTGAGAGAAGAGAGACATCCCTGCTTGAGAGAAGAGAGATATCCCTGCTTGAGAGAGAAGAAAGATATCCCTGTTTTGAAGAGAAGAAGAGAGAGCCACGATATCCCTGCTTTGAGACGTGCAGCATCTTTGAAGAAGAGATATCCCTGCTTGAGAGAAGAGAGACATCCCTGCTTGAAAGAAGAGATATATCCCTGCTTGATCCCTGAGAGAGATATCCCTGCTTGAGAGAAGAGAGACATCCCTGCTTGAAAGAAGAGACACATCCTGCTTGAGAGAAGAGAGATGTCCCTGCTTGAGAGAAGAGAGAGTATCTTTGTTTTGAAGAAGAGCGATATCCTGCTTGAGAGGATGAAAGACATCCCTGTTTGATGAAGAGCGATAGAAGAGAGACACACCCTGCTTGGAGAAGAGAGATATCCCTGCTTGAGAGAAGAGAGACATCCCTGCTTGCTTGAGAGAAGAGAGATATCCCTGCTTGAGAGAAGAGACACATCCCTGCTTGAGAGAAGAGAGATATCCCTGCTTGAGAAGAGAGACATCCCTGATATCCCTGAGAGAAGAGAGATATCCCTGCTTGAGAGAAGAGAGACATCCCTGCTTGAAGGATGAAAGACATCTCTGTTTGAAAGAAGAGACACAGCCCTGCTTGAAAGAAGAGACACACCCCTGCTTGAAAGAAGAGAGATATCCCTGCTTGAGAGACGGTGTTTGTGTTGCTCCGATTAGGATCCTTGGTGTGCTGGGTCCGTGATATTTCCTGTTTTTTTTGTGGTGGTAAACATTGGGAACTTCGTCCTATATTGTTTGTTTGTTGTTTAACGCCACAGTCAGCAATATGAACCAGTGGTTGATATAATGAGTAACGTTCGTCGCGGAAGGTAAATAAATCATTTTATGTAGTATATATACTGAGTGAAACAAATAAAGGAACACATCAAAATTCAGGTGTTCCTTTAACATTTTCATCACCAGTTTTGAATAGAGCTGTGGGGGGAAATCTGAGAAAAAATAAAGAAACACTGCCATGAAGTGGTGTTCCGTTATCTGTTTCCCTCAGTATATTTCGTTTCACGTAAATGTCGTTGGGTAAGCGATGTTTCGGTATAAGGGTCCTGATAAGCAGGAATTGGGCGGTGGGGTAGCCTAGTGGTTAAAGCGTTGGCTCGTCACGCCGAAGACCCGGGTTCGAATCCCCACATGTGTACAATGTGTGAAGCCCATTTCTGGTGTTCCCCGCCGTGATGTTGCTTGAATATTGCTAAAAGCGGCGTAAAACCAAACTCAGTCAGTGATAAGCAGGGTTTCACTGTGTATGCAATATACAAAGTCACCGATCACCATATAATTTAGACCGCCTCTTGAGACAAGTAAAAAACGCTCCAGGCTATCTTTAAACGTAAGTAAAGCTTACATACTCACTCACACACTCACTCACTCCAAAATTCGAATGAGCAATTCGAAAACCGTGGCACATTGAAACAACGTGACAACCCTTGTGCTACTCAGACAATAAGAGACCTAGCTATTATAGAACCCAACTTATAATTCGTAAAGCAATAGCGATGTGTTGGGTCGTTACAGTCACTTCCAAGGCCTGTAATCACGTTATCACGAGCACAGACGGACGCATGACGGCATAATATGGCGACAGTGTTCCTCTTCCGGCTGACAGTCACGTCAATGGTTTGAGAAACCGGAATAATACCGGATAATCAGTTGAACTTCCTTGTTGAGGGGCCAGTGAGTGCAATGGTGGTTTCCAGTGCCAGTTTGCGGACCTTAACTGCAAGAATCCGGTGATTGTGGGTTCGAATCCTATGTTAACCTAGTTCATGATATATTTGTCTGAGTGAGTGAGTGAGTTTAGTATTGTGGCAAGCATTGGTTGCTGAAGACCTATTCTACCCCGGATCATATTTGTCTGAATAATTGTTTGATTCGAAGCCGTGTTCGAAGTCATAGACAAATTCTGTATATATTTTCATTTTTTTGCTTCAATTAATGTGGTACATTAATTACATTTCATATTTTCATTCCATAAAAAAGGTAAAGTGGCATATTAATTACTTTTAATTCCATAAAAAGTTAAAGCGTGATTTTAATTACATTTCATCATATCATTCCATAAAAAAGTATAGTGGCATATTAATTACATTCCATTCTTTCATTACATTAAAGCCATACCGACATTGCGGGTTTCACAAAAGTAGGACTACGAGGTATAGAAGGACTTTTCCCACAATAAGCTGTCACGGCACAGTGTAGATGGCGACCGTTCAAGACAGTCAAACCAAAACTCAAACTTATGTAATAACAATGTTGTCAACATTTTTTATTCCGTCCGGAATTATCCTTCCCTGTTTTATCAGTCCGAAGGCTTCGATCCATACGCATTATCCCAGTCGGGTATTTAGTTCTACTAAAACTACCTATTGCTACTGCCAGGCTCTCCACAACAAACTGCCAAGAGACCGTTGCTAATAGCAACCTTCTACTAGAACACTATCCCAACCAAGGACATTAAAACGTCGATTACCTCACACAAGAAGGTCCCAATGACGTCATCCATTCTGCTGCTATATGTAGGTCAGTCTAACTATATAGTCCTGACAGGGGTTTGATGAAACTTAATTCTAGTTGGCCGATGTTACAATGGCTCCCTGGAAGCATCGCTGTGCCACCCTCTCATACATACTGATGTCTGTCTTTGAGGTTCCTCTCTGATTACTGGCCTTCCTTTGGCTCCATCATGATTAAAGCGCCTCAATGGGGATTACTCGCATCCTTTCAGTCTCCAGGAATAGTCCATGCAAATCACGCCTGGTCGACATCTGTTGTCTCAATTGTCAGTGATCCATTCATATATTTTTCACAGCATCCCACCAAAGCTTTCTGAGGAAAGTCAAGACCGGGTATTCTTTTTCTCTGACATTCTATATTAATGTGAAACGTGGACGTTATCCTAGGTTTATATGTTAGAAGGCATAAAAGTATTGTACCCTCGTTTCAATACATGTCTTATATAAGAGTTGATCACATATAAATAAGAAATATGTTTTTCTTGTTATTGTGCTTTACGTGATTGTGAGCGAGTATGGTTTTACGCCGCATTTAGCAATATTCCATTAATATCACGTGGGACACCAGAAATGGGGTTCACACATTGCACCCATGTGGGGAATCGAACCCGTGTCTTCGGCGTGACGAGTGAACGCTTTAACCACTGGGCTACCACACTGCCCATTACGTTTGTGTGACCCTCTGGGGATTCTGTATGAGAATAGGTCCTTAGAACCCAGTGCATGTAGTGTTAACGGTTCGAGTGTGCAAGAACCGGAATCATTGGATTATCTGGTCAGATGTACTGGACCCGCCATACAGCGTGAATATTGCAGAATATACCACAAAAAAAACCAGGCAAACGAACAATATCACAACCTGGCCTCATTGTCAACCGAACAGCGAGTTTCCATTACCGGGAAGAACTCTCAATACAGTATCACCAGGCCCTTGTGTCCAGCTCACTGACAAAAGTCGCGTCAGTCTGCAAATAAAACCAACCTGCTATGATCCAGATTGATTGAAATGCTCAGGTAATGTGACTGGTGGACCTGTTGGGGAGCTGCTGTGCTTGTTGTGTACACAACGGTTGGCGCATCATGTGTACCAACTGCCCCTTGCCACCGGAACACAACTGTAGTATTGATGGCCAAGTAGGGGATATCCGACACAGGCTAGGTCGTTATGAGTTACAGCAAACCCAATTTCCCTGCCATTGTCTGAGACGGATCGGCTTGGGATTATATGAATACTGTCGGGTTGGCTGGAGGTGGGGAATCAAACAGCGATAGAAATAATGTTGTACTTGACCGTATTCGAAGTGGACGCTGTTCGGGGCTTTATTCTCTTTATCTCGTGTCTGTTTGTATATTGTACTGTTTTCCTTCATAGAACACCCTCATCCGTCGTTTACATAACCCAGGACTAGGTAATGAAAGTGCAAAGCTGATGCTGTTGGATGTCTAATGCCAGATTGTGCGTTTGTGGTCTTTGAAATTAGCGAGATTTCGACAATGGCACCGAGGTGGTGCCAAATGTTGTGGTGTATCTGTTGCACAGCACGAATTCCATCAATTTGACTCACTCATGTGTCGGAATGAATGTTGTTTTACGTCGCGCTCAGAAATATTCCAACTGAACTGCCGGATTGAGCAATAGTCCAGCGGTATATAAATAATAGAGTGTGGGCAAGACAATCCAGTGATCAAAAGCACGAGCATCGATCTACTGCAAAAGGAAGCACACAATCATGTTTGATGATGGCGTAGATCTAAAACAAGAACTTCGCGATGAAGTATTTCATGCTAGGGTATCATTAACTTCGTAACCGAGCCTGACCACCCAATCCATTTAGTCGCCTGTTAAGACCAGCAGAGGTTTATGCGGAGAAATTCTTACCCAAATCCCCCCTGATATCACTTTCTGAACGCGAATCTTTAAGCACAGTGAAACCCCGTTACTCCGGATTCTCTTAATGCGGGCAGTTACTGCTGGGAACGGTCAAAAAGAATGTATCTTTGAATGAGTTGATCAGATGAGATCCTACAAATTGAAGCCTTGTTCAAACCCTACATCAATATTCCTACTAATATTATATCGAGAGAAAAAATCGTTAGCCACACGGACTGCCAAGATAGCTGCAAAATTTCAAGATGTCCGCCATTTGTTCCAATCATTACCGGGGCGGTGGGGTAGTCCAGTGGTTAAATTGTTCACTCGTCACGCCGAAGACCCGGGTTCGATTCCCAACATGGGTACAATATGTGAAGCCCATTTCTCGTGTCCCCCATCGTTAAAGTAATGGAATATTGCTAAATGCCGCGTAAAACTAAACTCACTCACTCATGATACTATCATTAATTACCTACTTGAGACTTTGAAATGCTTATAAATATCCGATGTGATGTTGTTTTTCAGATTTTACACCCTCTTAGATTATTCTTATCAAGACCGCAATCACTTGCAATGTATCGGTGCTCAGTTACCTGTCTTTTCAGCGGTAAGACCCGTGAAGGTCCGGGTTAGAATATTGATCTTCAGTAACTCATGCTTGTCCTAAGAGGCGACTAACGGGATCGCGTAGTCAGGCTCGCTGACTTGGTTGACACTTGGCATCGGTTCCCAATTGTGCAGATCGATGCTCATTCTGTTGATCACTGGATTGCCTGGTCCAGACTCGAATATTTACAGACCGCCGCCATATTGCTGGAATATTGCTGAGTGCGGCGTAAAACTAAACTCACTCACTCACTTTTGAGCGGTAAAGTATCGAATGTCATTTGTGATGTTCCAATTATATGACGTCTCTTCTGCTAAGCTAAGCGAGGAATGCGTGAAATAATATGTTAATATAATATGTTAAATAATATGCTTAATCGATGAACTATAAAAGGGTCTTCAGAAAACAAACATTAAAATGTCATTTACTCTGTGCTATTATATTTACTTCATACATAAAAATATGATTTATGCTACAAATATATATATTCATTCCGTATGCAGTGCCGCGTTAAATGGAATTCCCGGTCTGACCGCTTGATTTCGGTGAGGGGCGGTGGGGTAGCCTAGTGGTTAAAGCGTTCGCTCGTCACGCCGAAGACCCGGGTTCGATCCGTCACATGGGTACAATATGTGAAGCCCATTTCTGGTGTCGCCCGCATACCCACTCAATGATGTGGATTAAACGTAAAAATATAGAGATCGTATACGTTTGCCAGGTTGAGATAAAATGACGACCGAGTCACCATGCCCCCGATTCGCAGTAGTTTACAGGGTGGGGGTAAACCTCTTCCAAAATAAACATTGTCCATTATCTAGCAGTATGTATAATAGTCAGTGCTATTTTAACCGAGACAAATTTGAAAAATATTGTTTTGGCTTAGCATCTCTCCTTTGGTGACGCACAGCATCTCATTTACCGGCAAGTATTTGTGTATGGAGCTTTCAGATATCACATCGGAAGATAAAAGTCGTTCATCAAGATCACAGATTCCCATCGCTAACGGTACATCATTTAAACCAAGACTAATCGCGAAGGTAACATGAGATAGTCAAAACGTTGATGTACTGTATTATCTTTCGCAATGCCACAGATTGCTTTGTAAGCTTGGCAATAAAGCCGCCCACAGACTTTTGTTCGAGAGCCGCTTCACGAGAAGAATAAAAATATTCCCCTGGTTCACGAAGACTAGTGCAATTGTTAGTATATATTCAACAAAGGCCGCTCTCCTTTCTGACTAAAAGCACGTATATACAAGTAGCCTATGGAAATCACGTAATGCACAGCTAATACTGGGGCTCGGTAGAGATTGCAACTTCCAGTTCTCCCAATGTGGGACGGCACCCTTTGTTACCATTCCGTGGTGATTAGCTCAACTGTTCAACGTATTATACGCAGATAAAAGTCATATGTCAGACTCTAAGCAAAGTTTATATGGAAACAGTTTCCGATTGTCCTTAGAAAATTAATAATCGTAAATGTCATTGTGTTTACCGAGAATCTGATGCAGAATCTGAGAGTGCAAGAAGAGATATTCTCACTGAGTGGGTGGAAGGGAGGGAATGAGGGGGGTGGAGGAGCTGAGTTATAAAGGGGAGGGGGCATTAGGGAAAGGAGAGGTGGTTGTGGTGGTGGTGGGGAGTTGGGGGTTGTTGTTGTTGTTGTTGTTGTTGCATGTTGTTGGTGGTGGTGGTGGTGTTGGTGTGAGTGTGTGTGTGTGTTGGGGGGGGGGGGTGTGTCGAGGAATAACTAGTGTATGACGCAGCAAGACATTGGAACTAAATTACGGCCACCTATAAATTTGAGTTGGGTTTTACGCTGCTTTCAGCAATATTCCAGCAATATCACGGCGAGGGATACCAGAAATGGGCTTCACGCGTTGTACCCATGTATGGAATCCATACCGGGGCTTCGGCGTGACGAACGAATGCTTTAACCACTAGGCTACCCCAACGCCCAACGAGCGGGAATAGATTGCCCACCTTCTAGGAGAATGACCTACAACTATCCGATTAACAGAAAACCAAGGTTTCCACGTAAAAAACACAAAAATTATCCTGTCTGTAGTTACTGGAGGTTTTCATGTAACTGGTCTCGATGTCGAGTGAGATGTTGACATTAACCTCTAAATAACTCATTACATCCAAGTGAAATAACTCACATGACATTACATCAAAGGGAAATAACTCACAATGGTATAACAGTAAAGGGACATAACTCTGATGACATTCCGTCAAAGGGAAATAACTCTGATGAAATGATCATCGAGTCGACGGACATGCTGACTTATGGATCGGGCTATGGAAAAAAATCTCTAAATGCAAACAAATCGACGGTAATATCCATTTTTGAGACTTTGGCAAATATATCAATATGGGTCCTTTATTAGGCGAGTTACATATTTGTTCCCAAAGCGATTTACCGATACAATTATGTCTATTCTTGAATCGACGCTCAATAACTCCCACATACATCAACACAAGTGCTCATTTCAACGGCAGTTCCACGAAACGGAGGGGTTTATGTCGCAGATATTGCGTGCGAGTCGGCAGTATGCGTGTTGGTTCTCATAGTGAGAACAAATTATTAACCACAGCATCTGGTCAGATATTATGTTTTTCTGTTATTCCGTACACGTAACCCAAAAAATATCAATATAAATCCATAAAAGAGCAGGCAAAGTGAAATGGGGTTCAAGGTCATGGTCAAGGTCATGGTCAAGATTATTGTACTTTTACAGCGACCTGTTGTACATGTGTTGCGTGTCAGCTTATACTTGTACTCCGGGCTCGTTCCGGCTTTATTGTACATGCAATACCCTGCTGTATATGGATACACTACTTATACACATGGGGCGGTGGAGTAGCCTAGTGGTTAAACCGTTGGCTCGTCACGCCGAAGACCCGGGTTCGATTCCCCACATGGGTACAATGTGTGAAGCTCATTTGTGGTGTCCCCCGCCGTGATATTGCTGGATTATTGCTAAAATCGGCGTAAAACTACACCCACTCACTTACTCATTGCACTGACTCAGAGCAGATCAGTCATAGGGTGAGTGAGTGAGTGAGTTTAGTTTTACGCCGCACTCAGCAATATTCCAGCTATATGGCGGCGGTTTGTAAATAATCGAGTCTGGACCAGACAATCCAGCGATCAACAGCATGAGCATCGTTCTGCGCAATTGGGAACCGATGATATGTGTCAACCAAGCCAGCGATCCTGACCACCCGATCCCGTTAGTCGCCTCTTACGACAAGCATGGGTTACTGAAGGTGTATTCTAACCTTCCATATAGCTGGAATATTGCTGAGTGCGGCGTAATACTTAACTCACTCACTCATTCATAACTACTGCACTGAATATTTCAATTCTTATATGCGTTGTGAAATCATCGTCATTAAATTGAAATTTATGGGTTTGTTTAGAGATACTTCAATGAAATCAAATTGATTGTGAAATGTTTATTGAACAATAACTATTGTTCACCATAAATATGTATTCACGTGAAGTATTGGTAATGTTACTATATATATGGAGGAATGTAGTGTTCACAAACACGTGAAGTATTGGCAATGTTGCTGTATGCGACGTGCTACTTACAAGGGAGGTAACTGGGGATTCAGTGGTATTGGCGACGACACAAAAGTTAATGGACACACAAATTTGAAAGGAAATTCGTAATAGGAAATATGACACGGCCTCCAAGAGAACCCATGTCATCAGGAACCAATTCTATACATGTCTTCGACTGTCATGAATTATTCACTTAAATATGCAAATCTGGTTCTATATTATTTCAGCTTTGAGTCACAGCGCCAATGAAACACTAAGACTAATTTGCTGCAGGAATACAAGTAACGACATTTTTTTAATATAATGTATGAAGTCTGGATGGTTGTAATGAAATCAGTGATATTGGATATGTTGTCTTGTCGGGGGAGTTCAAAGCGTAGATTGCTTGAAGCGAAGAGTCTGTGTAGTGCTATGTTACAAATTAATTCTAATGATAATGATGATTATGACGGTAATGATGACGACGACAAAAATACCGTAAAGCAAGTCAATGCGTTGTTTTATTACCCCGGCCACTGGATCAATGTCGTAAATCTATGATAAACTTTGAGAGTCACGATCATCTTAACGTTACGAACGCGCTGTGGAGTTACGTACAATGCTACATCTCTTGAGCGACATGAGGAGTTGAAGGGTTTCGGTTTAACGAAGTTTC